AGGGCCGGCAGGAATTCGCACTTTCTCCGCTCAGCTGGGAGGCGGAGGAGGCCTTGGCGGCCGGCCCACGAGATAATCGACTTTGGTGCTGAGTCGGGCTCCGTTGCACGGCCGCTGGCGCTGTGGGGAGAACCGCCACGCTGTGTGAGCTTGTGATCGTCTGTCCGTCCACGTGCCACGGCATGTCAGGACTACATATGGCAGCTATATACGACAGAATAATGAAATCGGGAATGTTCAACGCCGGTGGTTTCTTTGGCCAGAGCAAGCTCATTCGTCAAAGGCTGCGTGACAGTGGACACCTGACGCGGATGCCGTCGGTACCTTCAGGATGCGATGTTTCGTCGGGCCGCCAAGGACCGCTGCTAACCGCTCTGATGTCTCAGTTCACTGGGAACAATGGGTCATTAAATTTGCGAAACAGCGTGCACTTCGCTTTATCGTTTTATAAGGGCCATAGCATTAGCCGGGTGTCTCCCGCACGCACTGCCGTTATGCTAAGGCGGCCGCGCACAACCGGAGGTGTTGCGAGCGCACGGAGGGCATCGCCGGCCGTCCAGTCATCAAGGTGATGTCATCCTCGTAGCATTCAGCAATGACATCAGCCGTCGCTACTTAGCGCGTGGTCTATGCCTCTCCTCGGGGGAACTCGGAGGCCGAGGCCAAAACCACACTCAATGCGGTTTTTTGCAAGTCTGGCCTGTTTTGCATGTGCCTTGAAAACCTAATGCCCTGGGCTAATTGATCATCCTGTCAATAGTGCCGTTACTGCGGAAATATTCGAAGGACCCTTTGATCCTCTTAGTTTTGACAATTTTTTTAAAATATGCGACGAACGGTAAAAGCACATTGTCCTGAGCGTCTTTGTTTCAAACATCCAGATCATCGTAGCTTTGTTTGAGAATATTGCAGCCACGGAGCGAAATCCTGCGATGTTTTTGGTTTTAGCCGTCGTTGGGACTTCTCAACACATTGCACACCGGATGACCAAGTTCTGCTTTCTGGGCTGGCCATATTTCTGTCGTGAAGTTAATCTGCCGTCTGGTTTCCAGTTTGTTCTCAGTCACCGATGGCTTTGTTGCGTGTCAGTAAATGCCACGCTAGCTTAAAATATCTGCATCCAACCAGAAACCGGATTACCACAGCCAGACGTTCTATGTACTCAGCTGATTACAGCATGCAGTTGATGAGCTGCAGCTAAAATGTGACGCATCAGTGATTTTTCCGTTAGTATTTGTGGAAGCGCAAAACCATTATGGGCAAAAGGTGTAGAAGACATGCGCTGAAAGCCGGAGCAGGCGTATATAAAAGGCAGGCAGCAAGGTCGCATGCCTAACGTGTCTTACTTGAATGATTAAAAAAAATGCTCAGCTTAAGCGACCGAAAAAGTTCGTCAAAGTTTCTAGAATATGGGATCGTTGCAATACTCGATCGCAGCTCGATACTACTTCCGCAAAAAAGGGCGCAATGAGTTAGAAGTCGTGCTGCATACATTGACATATCAGTTGGCTCATTCGAAGTTTTTCTGAAGCATTTCACTGGGAGCAAAACAAGGCATTTTTTCTCAGAATAACATGATCGACGTAACAAACTGATCAAAATGGAGCCCAGATTTTGAGGACTCGCCGTCGAAATCAAGGTGGTTACCCGGTGTATCTTGAAATTGAGAGCACAGCACTCACTGGGTAGACGTTGCTGGCTTAGCTGCTCCTTTAAAACTCGCTACAATACTGCTGAGTGCCAGGTAAAGCAAGCGCTTGATGCACTTGACCAGGTTTCCGGAGATCAGGGACATGAGGTGACGAATTATTTCCGTGCCGTGTCACACATCCGTGACTGGAACAATGGCCAAAAGCGCCGGTCTTGAAAACGATTGCTACCTGGTCCAGTTCTCGGCCATCGCCTTCTGCACTGGCCCGAGGCGGAACGACTGATGTGAGCGGTTGTAAGGCCATCGTATTCACCAACTAAGTGGCATGTTAGACACTGCAGTGCTGCACCCGTCCCCCGGAGCCCCCCTCCCCCTCCGGTGAGACCCCCAACGCGCCGTCACGTCACCTGCACGCTAACCGTGTGACCAGCACTGCGTCGCGGGGTAATGAGGCCCGGCGCCGCCGCTTTGGGAGCGGCGTCAGCAGAAGAGCCGACATCGGCGTCCACCACCGGGCGACACGCACACCGTCGCACAGTGGCCGCGGCCTGTCCAGAGGGCGCCACCGCCGGCGGGGGCGGCGGCCGGGGCGCTGGGTGGGGGTCGGTGCTCAGTCCGGCCGGCCACTGACCCGCCGGCGCTCGCTGGCGTCAGCGCGCCGCCGCCAGAGCGGGCACGCACGCCCTCTCAGCGTCCACCCCCACCGCACCTCTCCGGTCTGAGGGTGGCGCAGATACAGCCGGCGGCGGTCCGTCGTTCGGCCGCCTTGTGCTCTTTGCACGTGCACTTTCTGTGCGTCATTACCCATTGTCCTCGGGCTTCTCTGGCCGCCGTAAATTAAGTCCTAGGTCAGTGCAAGGGCCATAAATATTCACTGGGCACATTACCATATGACGGAAGCGTTTAAAACGCATCAAGTCGAGAGAAGCAATGCGAAAGGCTATCCTGGATGAGTGTGTTGGAACGGCATTTTGGTCTTATGCGTCCCCTTTGCGTCAGTTAGTGCAAGTATATTTACCTAATAGCCGAACTAATCGTAATAACTAAGATCTGAGCTGTAAAGTTCAGATTTCAATCTTTACGGTGACATAAAATATCTTAACATCACTTTTGGCAAGTGTCAATTGTAGATTATGTAGATTTTGTAGATTGATCTACTAATTCTGTACATTATTTAGATCCATCTACCCCCCATGTAGATTTTGCAACATTAAAACGCACACAATGGTGATTCGAACAGAGAGAACGTTTTCCAAGTGTCACACGAGCATACAAAATTGTTGTTAGTCACATTTACATAAGGTTGAGGATATCTGTTGGTTTCTTTATCGGGGAGAGGATGGCTTTGTGAGCTTTTACCTTTGGTCTATGAAATGATTGCATGCATCCGATCACGATTTGAACACAACTATGGAAGATTTGCAGATATTACCACAGCATCCTGAACTAAAGAGGCGGATTGCTGTGCATGGAATATTACAAAGCGCATTAACGAGATCCATCGGGCGCTACAGCGAGGTCTCTCCTTTCCTTGGGGACGGTGAAGCCGCCAGTGTTCCTTACTTCACCACAATATAGAAATAATGAAACAGAGCCAGCCTGTAGCCATAGATAAACATATGTTTATTTATGTGTGAATGTAAAACAACCACCTGTAAGATGTCAACTCCCTCCTTTGTCTTACGTCGAAAGGGGTATGTAAGTAAAACATTGCGTTTTCCTGGCCTTTAGTCAGACGTAGTTCCAGTCAAGGCATTGAAAGAGAAATTAGAAATGTGTTCAAAATATCCCCTTGGCCTTGCTCGCAAGTCTTCCACAGCCTTTCTCGGCAATCTGGGACGCAAGCAGCTTCATGCTTGACTCACCCCTAACATTCACATTCATCGTGCCGACAAAAAGTGTCACGCAGTGGGCGTGCTCTTTCTGTGCACCGGAGAAGTTTCGTGGTGATACTTTTATGTGTGTTTTTGCAGTCTCCGTCACCGGACTGGTCTACGGCTCCTCGTTTGATGGAGTCTGAAAGAGCCGTGCGAGCTGAAAAGCGTCGGAGAAACTCGCATCCTTTGTAATCTGTGCCCGGTAATCTCGGCAATATAGCTGCTGTTTCGTCTTTAAGAGACAGATATCGCCATCTGGAACTAGCAATAAAAAGAACAGAGCGTAAAAGGAAGAACAGAGCGTGGCCTGATAGCTGTCGAGTAATGCGCTGTTTAAGTGTTAAACAAACAGCAACAATCACACTTCGCCTTCTGATGGCAACAGATTATCCTGGCAGACACCCCCTACTGGTAAAGAGTATTCAGAAAATTGTTTGAGAATCATGCACACCATTGTGCATTGTGCAAAACAATGCCGTCCATGACCATTGTCGAAGGCAGTGATCGGCCTTTGCGTGTCTTTATCCTGCTGATCTTTCAGCATTATCAAATACACAAAATGTGACACACTGATATCCTTAGCTGTCGTGACATAGCGCTTGAAACATATTTGGTGAAAAGCATACTGTACATGTGGAATCGCCTTCGCTACGTCAGGCGCAATTACACTACGCAAGCTGAGACACGCGTTCCGCGTATTACAGCAAGGCCTTACAGCAGCAGCAGCTTTACAGCCTTTCAACACGGCCAGTGGGCCCATTCGATGTCGGTTCTCTGTAAGTCAACGAAAGATGCGGAGATGCTGGATGAGTTGCTACCTGCGAGAAGGGCGCCAGCGGTATCCGGCGCTCTGGCACGTGGAATCAGCCGGGATTGGCTTTCCGTCAGTGAGACTGTCACGGGCACAGGCCGTGTGAGAGCCACCTGACCAGAAGCAGAGGTCTGCGTTTTGGACGCGGGTTAATTTAGCGTTCAAGTCCCGAGCTATCGCCTGCCAAAGAAAATACCTCACCACAAAGAAAAGGCGATATGCTTGATGATGAGTATGTGCGGAGGTCCATTGTCAATTGGTGTCGGGAGACAGGCGCCCGCGAACTTTACCACCGTTCTTTCGTAGAAAGTAGGTTTGGCGGGGAAAATTGTTCCGGAGGAGCGTGGCTAGGACTCGTATGAGAACCGGCGAGCGCAGTTGTGCGCCGTCTTCATTCGCGCTTCGTCGTCGATCGTCGCAGTGACCCGCAGCTCGTGCGCCTGGTCGCGGTGACCTGGGGGCAGTCCGTCCGAGCCCTCGGGGCATCTACGCGGCCACCAGCGCCGCCCGAGGGGGCCCGGCCCGACAAGGCCGGCTCTTTCCGGGGCGGGCCGCTGCCGTCGTCGGGCGTTGGGCAACCGGGCGGCCGCGGCGAGGTGTGGCCCGTCGAGGCCTTGGGCGGCGGGCGGCGCGGCGCCGGCCGCCGCGGCGAGTGCTGGCGGCGACTCGCGCGCGGACGGAGGTGCGCCGGTGCTCCGCGGTGACTGTGACCGTAGCGGCGCTCCGTCGGGCCGCGCGGCCGTAGCGCTCCTCCCGAAACATGGCGTACCGCACGCAGCGCGCCCACCACCCGTACGAGGAGATCGAGTACGAGGAGAACCCTTACGCTGGCCGGCCGGGGCCCAGCCGGAACGGGTATGGGCCGCGGCAGGAGAAGACCTACGACTTCCTGCCCATCCAGCGGCCGGCCAACGCCAAGAGGTCAGTTGAGGGACGGAGCAATGCACCGCTGATTGCCCCGTTGGGCTGCAAGTGAACGTCGGCTCTCAGGGCGCCGTCCGGGTCAGGTGGCGTGTGTATTTACCCGACCGTGGTCAGTAATTTAATCACGGGCAGAATCGTGTTTATGATATGGAGGGGAACGACTACCTACCGTGGATAGCCGGTGTGGTTTTAGCGAAAGACGGTTTTGCTAAATTACATGCAGATAGACTGTTTTCGCATGCGATATTCAGAATGTGTTTACATATGTTCAGTAAATGTTAAGAATATCACCAGATCACGTGTGAGTTTCTCCTTTTATGTGCATAATGTGAGCGCATGCTCTAATTAGGAGCGAAACCGTACCAGTTAGCTGTTGTCGCCACGATCCTCAGCATTGAGCGGAACGGAATGGATTCCTATCAGACAAGCCTTGTGCCCGCATGGTTACTGCCGTGTTTGTAAGATCACTGACCGTAGCACAAAGGAGCTCTGTTTTGTGGTGGCGGTAAATGAGGGGTTAACATGTGTCCAGCTGACGCGCTTCGTTCTAATCAGAGAAGTACAGCACATATCAAGTATTTGCACAAATTTCCTGATTCAAATGATTCAAGCAAATATATATTGAGGGGGTCACCAGAGGCGCGTGCCCCAGTTATACTTTCCAACGGAATGTATTTTCTTCTGTAATGTACAGATGCGAATAGAAAATGACAAGGAAATTACAAATATGGGATGTTGCTATAAGCAGGACAGGAAATTCTTCGTGACTGCGCGGCACTAAGATGAATTTCTGAGTGTAAACCCTTAGTTTGTCCGGCCCCCCCTCTTTCCGATTGCGAAATGATGAATGCGCTCCCGGAATTAAGCATACCCATGCGAGTCGTCCACTTTGTAAACAGCCTGCTGCAGCTTCAGCTCAGCTGAGCGCTGTCTCCCGCGCTATCGCCCTGCAGATCGGTCTCGCTCTCGGCCGTGGACCCCACTATTCATAGCCCGTCTGCCGCCGTATATCGCAAGAAACCATACGCCGTCGGCATGTCGCGCCGCCGAGCCTGCCGCGGCAGCGCTCTTTGTCGGCGTCGGCGCGCTGCGCGGCGGTTTTTCCCGGCTCGCTCGGGCCGTCTGTCGAGCGGAGGCGGCGCGTCTCGCTGGCTGGAGGGCGCCAGGTGATGGGCCCCGAGTTTCGCCACGTCTCGTCAGTGCCGCCGGCACCCGGCCGACGCCAAACTGGGTCAATGTCTCTGGCGGCGCGCCTGGCCGCCTGCCAGCCGCCCGCCCACCGGTCGGGCGGCTCGCGCTGCCGTACAGGGTTCGCCGCGACCGGCTCGAGCCGGGCCATGGTGTCAGCGGCGGTCCCAGCAGCAGCGGCGCTGGCCGGCGGAGTAGCGGTCCCGCTCACGGGCGGGCTACGTAGGAGCTGATCTGCTGAGAGCAGTTACAGCACGGATAACGCCACTGCAGATGTTCGGCTCAGTAGCGGTCGTATGACAAGACCTGGTCTCATCCGCCTACTGCCCCCGCTGACAGATGGTCTTGACAACAGTGCTGCTTGCTTTTTTCAGCGATAACGTCGCTTTGAGCCTCCCTAAGCAGCTTTGTTCCCGTCCTAGATGACTTGTGGCACCCCTGGCGTCTTGCTGTGGATGTCACGACACGGCAGGATCGCCATGTGCTGAAGTCCTGCAGAGTGAGTGTCGCTGGTGGTCTTCTTACACCACCGGACAGTAACCCGGAATATCACAGTTGTTACTAGCCACTTAGCGGTCATTTGGCTCCGGCTTTGGTGGCCAGTGCATGCTGAGAGGTGCTTTGATGACACGAAGGCTCTGTGTCACCCGACAACCGGCACTACCACGGAGTAGTGGCGCAGCTGAGCCCTGTTAACTGTTGAACTACAGGACAGCTGGCAGACCACAAAACGGTTCTAGGCCAGAAGCCAGCCGGTCGGTCATGCGCTGGCCCGCCAGCAGCTGACGGCGCCCTGGGCCGGGAACAATGCCGATCGGCTCCATTGTTCGGGCGTAGGCTGGTCGGGCCAGCTCGCGTGCAGCGGCGGGACGCCTGCACAGCCCGCAGACGGGCCCGGCTCCGACCACGGGCCGGCCCGAGGCCGCAGACCGACGATAGGCCGGGCCGACGCCACAGACTGACGGCCGACGAGGCTGAGCACTGGTCCTCTGAAACTACATATTGCGGACGAGCAGCCGGAGCGAACGGGAGGACGAGGACTCTGGCAGACGAGCAGCCGGAGCAGACGGGAGGGCGAGGACTCTGGCAGACGAGCAGCCGGAGCAGATGGGAGGGCGAGGACCCTGGTGAACAAGCTAAGGTCTTCCAAGTATGTGGGCTGGTGACCGAGACGTGCGGAGACTGGACTGGTGACGAAGTCCGCCGAGATATGACGTCTAGGCCCGCAGCCGAGGTGTGTGGCAGTCGCAGTCTCTCGACGTTGCAGGGTTCCACCTGGGATTTTCCGAGACGGCGCCATGCCAGTCGAGCGCCGTCAGGCTGCAGATGATCGGTCTGGGCGGCCTGCCGAGGCTGCCATCAGGTCATGTGAGACGACGTGGGCCAGTCGCCGGCTGTCACTCCATCATCGTCGTCAGTCTGTCATGGTGTCGTCCAGGACATGCCCATCATCAGCTGAACAATCACGTCAATTACCGATCCGCTTTGTATTCAAGATCGCTGTGAGAAAGAGAAACCTGGCGGCCTCGCACTGCCGGCTGACTAAGGCTCGGGGTCGCCACACCTCAGAGGTCTCCCTCGCCGGATCCAAGAGTCCTCCCTCCTCGGACCCCTGAGTCCTCCCCGTGGGACCCAAGAGTCCTTCCCTGCCGGACCTAAGGGTCCTCTCTCACCCGACCCCAGAGTCCTCTCTCAGAGGACCCAGGTCGTCAGAAGGCGTCCGGGTGAAGAGAAGAGGGGAGGGGGGTTGCACCGTGCCTGGTGTCACCGAGATCCGGCTCATTGAACACCTCATCGGACCGCGGCGGTGGTCGGCCGGCCCGTTAAGCCGCCCGACTCATCCCAGCCGGTCCGGCAGCACTAATCTCCTGCGGCGGACGGCTCAAGGGCAGCCGGAGCTCCGTCCCAGGGCGTCCATGGCACGGTGTCGCTGGGGCCGGAACGCCGCCGCCGGGTGCGCTGCCCCCCCCCCCCCCCCCCACCGTCACATCCGGGTCTCGTGGGTGGGGTCGTGGCCCCGCCGGCGTCTCACGCGCCCACTGCGGAAGAGAACGTTTTCCCGGCAGCGCTGAAACTCGCACGGGAGATCGGACAGATAGCGAAGATCTTTTCCTGCTTCGGTTCCGCTCATGGGCCGGCTGGAACTGGCACATCTCGGGTGTGGTGCCCGACTGAGTCATTTGCCCAGACCAGGCAATAAGTCACTCTTAATGGACCATCTGGCACCTGAGCGTGAGGTGAAAACGAAATGTTTACGGCATCTCCATCTGAAAGCAAAACAAGAGGCCCAGCTACCGTCCGAATCACCAAGATGAGAGCCGAGCGAGCACTGTGCAGCCTGTAAAACATCCCGCTGTCGCGCCGCACAGTCCGCTGCGAGTAACACGGCTGAGCTTGCGGCGGCCCGCAGGAGAACCCGCAGCATCCCGCCTGGACGTCCACTCACCCGCTTGTGCGCGCTGCGCTGCCGAATGCAGAGCCTCTGCTGACCGGTTCACCTTCGCGAGCAACAGTTATCAGCGCCGCGCGGGAGGGCGGCCTTGGCGCGCCACCCGCTTGCAGCGAGCGGCTCGCGGCTCGGGCGCCAGACGCCGGCTGCAATTAACGTTGCGGTTCGGGTATACGTCCGCCGGCACATAGACGGACGTCGGCGTCGGCAAGGTTGTGCGTGCGGGACGGCTGGAGACTCGGCACAGAGCCTGAAGCGAGGCGCAGCGGATCGCAGTTGAACACCGCCTCGGCTCGGCAGCTGGGTGGAAGGACATGACGCAAGCAAAACAGCCGGCTATATTTGGGTGCATTTGGGCGCTGATTCAACTTGGCAGCTAGATGCAACCGGACACAGTTTGAAATTGCCGGGGCGGGTGGACGAGCACAGGTGGACACCGCGTGGACGGAGTAGTTGGACACAGCTGGACACCGCGTGGGCGGAGTACCTGGACGCAGCTGGGCACTGCGTGGGTGGAGTAGCTGGACGCAGCTGGACACCGCACGGACTCATTACTGAGCCCGCGGTGACAGGCGAGCGTTGGTCCTTCGTCTCTGTCCCGGTTCTCACAGCCGTCGAAATTCGAGGCCGCGCGCGCGTCGGCCTGACCGGCCGCCTTCCTTTGACAGCGTGGCGGTGGGACCATTGTACGTTCGGTGACCGGGTGCGACCGCGGCCGAGGAGAAAGTGTCCGTTGATGGTTGCTGTGGTCACCGCCCTGGGCTCCAGCCATCCCGATTTCATCAGTCAGCTCATCGGACGGCGCATTTGATGGCCGTAAGATGGGCAGCATCGGCCGCAGTGCTGCACGTCTGTGACGTCACAGAGGGCGGCCGTGCGGCGCGTCTGGGGTGCTTTCCACAAACACCTGTTGACGGAAAAGCATGTCTCGGGCTTGCTGTGATCTTTGGTTGGAGGGAAAAAAGCGATTCCGGGAGATTCGTGGATAATCGACATTTACGACCGACCGGATAGAAATAGCGTCGGTCGCCCTGCAGTTGGTAGGCCCACTCTTCCTCGAAACACGTCAGTCTTCCTGAGTTCACACGAGAAGCAGACGACGGCGAGAGGCGAGGCATGCTTGTGGCGGCTTCTGGCAGATCATGACCAGAGCTGGCAGCCGATCAGACGGCGGCCGGCGGCTCTGCCTCTGTCTCCCCTCTCCGACCGACCGGCCGGCCCGGTAGCCCGTCTGGGCCGCGGCGCCAGCGCGGCGCCGTGTTTGCCGAGTGCGCCTGTCTGTGGTGTCGGTCACGAGCAGGCCTCAGTGACAGCTGCTGCAACTGGGGCGTAACGCCGCACATCTGGCAGCAGGCACCGCGGCACTTTCTCCGCCGCGTTGCAGCAAACACCACGCGCCGTCGCCGTTGCAGAGGCCCCACGCCCGACCGCCGTGGCCGCGGCCGGCGTGCGGAGCGACGCGGCCGCGGCTCCCGCTGGAGAAACCGGCGTCTGGACAACGCGGCTGTCGTCGGCTCGCCGCTGAGCGACGCCTGAGCTTGCGGTCCAGCTGGTTTGAAAGGCGGGCTCGCCGCGGTGGGGCCGTTTCTTCTCAAGACCACTTTCGGTGTCAATGCGGTCCGGGCTTATTTCTACCGGTCAGTCCGGTCCAGGGCATTGCGAAACATGAAATGCAACGCGGAATTTGAGTTTACACGTGTTTTACTCATCCGTGCCGGTCCTGGAGATGGGATGTGGGATTTTTAAGCCTTGTTACCAATTAACACTCGTGAGAACATTTAGCAGGTATATTACAGCATATCCATGCTGTGTTATGTTGACGCCTAGCGTATAGCAAACATCCAACTATGATTATAAAGTGACTCGTAACAAATCGCATAGTCGTGCACTGAACTATATGTCTTCGTCGACACAAGACAGGTCTTATTTGTTTACTCTGGTAAAATGATATGAATATGCATGCTGACGGCACACAGCTAATCGAACGAAGCCACAATGACTCACCTAGACCTTGCCTGGTGAATCCGTTATTCCATCACCGTCTGGAGAGTTCGTAGTGATGAAACACCTGACTAGCCCAGCTCCCACTTTCCCTTTTCCCGCTTACTTAGGGAGGCGCGGGCCACATTTGCATCATTATCACACAGGCGGCGGCGTGTTCCTGCCGTTTCATCACGCCCGCCCCAAGGTCGACACGCAGACGATGTCCCACTTCCACACGCCACGTCGCAACGGGCTGTGCCGCATGCAGGTCACTCGGGCGCCTCGCGACCTTGTGACGACGGATGTTCCGCAGAATCCTTGCGCCACCCAGTGTCTGTGCCATCGGAAGACCCTAGCCTATCAGTGCCGGGTGTCCAGAGCGGTCAGTGGCGTCTCAGGGTCGATGGTGTGTGCGTGGCTCGACGAACGGGGTACGGTCTGGGGCGGAAACGTGAGCCGGCTGGTCAAGCGGTACGGTTCTTTTCAGAAACGGTACCGGCGAGATGGTCAGCCGTCGGCGCATCCTCAGCCGGTCGCGGGACGACCTGAACCTGGAGTCGTACCAGGAGGAGGAGGACGACGTCTGGTACAAGAAGGAAAAACTCTACAGCGTAAGTGACCCACCGTAAACTTCTTCAGCCAAGTGTGAAAACCCTGAGAGTTTTGGCCATTTAGGAGCGGAAATTGTTCCGGGTTTTGGGCGGGGCTGGGCTTTTTGTGGGCCGTCTGGTTGAGGTCGGGGTAATCCGACACAGACAGGCGGACACTGGCGTGTCTCTCTCACTCGACGGCGCTGAATAATCGAGTCAGCGCGGTCGCCGGCGCGTGCGAGGCGGCGCGCCGGACCAGGAACAATGCCAGCCCTGCGGCCGCCGGCCGAGTTTCACTGATTGGCGCCTGACGCGAGCGCGCGGCCGTCGACAACTGGCCGGCGGCACTGAAACAATCGACACCGATGCGCTTTGTTCCCGGAGGAAAGTGTCTACGGGACGCGCCCTGGCCCGTCCGCATTCCCGGGCGCTCACACGGGCTGGGTGGTCACGTGTCGCGTGGCCGTCCGGCGCCTCTTTCCTGGGCTCAGTAGGACACAGCAGCAGCAGCCTGCGTGCCGCTCCCTTGCATTCGCCGTGTAAGTCGCTTGCAAAGGGCATGCAGGTGCACCGTTTTATTTTTTAACGCCGCAGCGACTGAACCATGCAGGCAGTATCAGTAGTGTTGCAAGCGTGAGTCAGTTCATTGCTTCATAACCGATTGTTGAGTCATGTTCAATGCATGCGACAAGAGCTTTCATTCATTTTTTGGGTGCCCGGTCGGTGATTTACCATAAAGTGCTGACGACCGCCCCAAGGGGTATCCGTTTCAGGCCGGTCTCACGCCTGCGGGGAACCCCGGCTCGCTCGCGGTAGCGTGCGAGCTACGCTCTGCCAGCCTCTTTACCCAGCCCCCCCCCCCCCCCCCATACACGGCCGCTTGTCTGGAGCGGGCCCTCCCTGCCAGCTGCGTCTCGCGGCGCCGCCGGCGGTCAGCAGCCTCCCCCCTCCCCCCTCCCCTGACAGCGGCGCAGTCCGTACCTCTGTCCGACACGGCGCGGCGTCACACCACGCGCCGGCGCGGTAAAACACGCCGACGACAGGCTGACAGTGGCCGCCTGCTAACGGGGTCGTTAGCGACAAGCGTCACCGCCCGGACAGCGGCGTGTCCCGCGAGACGCGCCGGTGAAAGGCGAGAGTGTCGCGCGTGGCCGGCCCGAGATGGACGCCCGCCGATCATGCAGCTATCGCGGCGGGGTGGGGGGGGGGGAGGGGGGGGAACGCTCTCTGCCAGTCCCGCCGCTCCAGCAGGAACGGGTGCCGACGGCCTGACAGCCTTTATCCGGTACGGGTAATTGCGACCCAAACGCTTTGTCGCTTTTGATTGCAATAGTCAAACGAATCAGAGGTTTTCCTCCTTGTTCACAACTGTTGTTCCACCCTTTACCTCAACCTGTTCACCGTTTTTACAAGCTCAACCCTTGCCTCGATGGGGTTCCCCACGGTTTTTGGAACTGAGCGTAAGAATGTACCTCCAGTTTTGATTTAAAAGTAAATAGGGAGAACTAAGAAATATAAAACACCAAACATATCTGGACCGATTCTGTACGCCATTTACCCGGACGGCTTTAGCACTTTTGATCAAGATTAGGGCCGTACAGGATTCTTCCTATTTGTTACGTAATTTCATGTGACTTGCCTCATCCATGGAGCTGAACCCTTTGCGATCTGTTTGCACTTGAAATTATTCGTAGGCATCCAATAATGAGTTTTGGCCCTGTGACTTATGATAATAAACAGGGATATAAGATGATCTCAATACATAAGAGCAACACTTGCAGGAGCAGACGTATCACTGGCATGCAGAGAGTTATGCAAGCTTACGAATCTGGTATTGGTTAGTCTATTATGTGTCACAGTGGGCTGAGTATCACAAAAACCTAAGCTAGATGCCAGCTGATACTAACAGTCAGTGATAACATTTTGTGTAGCAATGTAACCTTGAACTGAAAAAAGTGCTGTCAGATAAGGAGTAACCGCATCAAAATTCATTAGGTGCCATTAAACGACAAGTGAATCGTGCTTTGGTTGGGTATGCGCCGGCTAAAGGCCATCTTTTTGACTGGGCTTAGCAGAACTGGATCTTAAAATGGTCATTAATACAACTTGGCAGCGCATTGAAAGTGTTATGGCTAGCTCAACAGATCCAGCAGCTATGCGTTAGACATGTCACGTGCCTGGATGACACATTAGTGAGGGTGTTCATACGATCTGGTGTTTTCCGTAACTTTGCTGCATAGACGCTAGTCAAGCGCATGCCAACAGAATTTCGCTTGGCGGTGTTTACCTGCAACACCAGAATATGTTTATACAGCAACGGACAAGCGTTCGCACTGCAATCTTGGTGAATGGGGAGGGATGTTTTTTCAACTGATGACCTTACAAGAATTCATTTTTGAACACCCACTGCACCCACCAAATGTTAGTAATTGATACAATGCCAGCTCTTGTGTTAGATTTATGGTAAAGAGCTACCAAAAACTGATTATTCCTGCATGGAAATTTATGCTGCCTGTTACATGTACAGATCTTATGCGTCACTTTATAAGTAGTGACCTAATCATGTGTCGTTAACGCATACTTTTCCAAGAACCTCTTGTCTGGGCGGTTCTTTTGTTCCATTTTGAACACAACACACATTTTTAGGACTTGGGACAAAAAAGCACCTGACCGATACAGCCCATCTAGCGCAACACAAAGGCATGTTTGCCACCATGCTATTGGCCTGTAACTAGCCATCGGATAAAAACTGTAGCATCGCCCAAACAAGCGCAGATGCATAGTTCTGGATTTCTGCACGCACGCATCAACGGACTGCAAACACCTGGCCCCACTCGCCTCTGACACTGTCTGGCACTGCGCCGGTCTGCACCGACGCTGAAGGCTGGTACAACATGATTCGGTGTCGTGACTCAGCCCGGCACACACTCCGGAACGTATCATTTTTCCAGACGCTCACCGAAGGCTTATCATGCACCTGCTGGGTTTCCAGGTCAGTCCTGAGAAAACGAAGTCCGGACGGGATACCGTGAAACGATTCACAGACTGGCAGAGATTCCGTTCCTTTCCGTGCAGTGGTGCACATACCACAACGCTGCTCTGCACTACTTAGCTCACGGCCGTCTTAGGATGCAGGGGCGCTGCTTCGCACGATAAGTTTGGGAGCGGGGGCTGAGCAGACAAAAACAGCTAAACCTACGCGAAAACTAGGCCAAAAAGCTTCTTTCTTCTCAAATTCAGTCTACTTTCTTTTTAAAGTAGATTGGGTAGGGGCGAAGCCTTTTCAAACAAATAGGGAACTAGACCACTAAAAGGAAGATGTTTCGTGCTGCGGTGCTGATTCTCCGTCATAACTGATAACTTAGCACCTTCTGATTTGTACGACATCCGATTCCAGTTGCCTTAGATGCATCCGGTGCCGCTTCCAACCGGGGAAAACTGCCTGCGTATTTGATGCATGTTGAGCAAGAATGCCTTAGTATTATTGTAAGCAAAACTTGTGCCAAATTGCCAACGTTTCATCCGTGTCATTGTCGAGTTAAAGTGAGACAATTGGATCATACGTCAAACTTGGTTACATCATCCGTTTTATTTCATTGTCTCTTCCTTTACACGACTAATCAGTCTGTCTACGTCTAATCTGTCGTCTATTTTCTTCGCGGTGTTGTTTTCGGGCGCGTTGAAAGTATTAAGGATCCACAACCGTTGGAATTCCGAAAGCCCTGGCAACTGTCTGATGCGCAGTTGAAGCGGCCCGTTGTAACGTCAGCCTTGCATGTCACGACCGGTATTTGTCAACCACATGCGGTTGCATTCCGAATACGCCCGGAGCACTGATACCCTGGATCGAGTGTGCCCAGGCCCACACCAGAGCTTCGTTCAGCGGGGGTCGGGAAGCTCATTCCCGCCCGGGGCAGAAGTGAACCCATGATTCAAACCGGTCGCGAGGGATCGTTGTTGCCGTCCTGGTGGAATGGGCACACTTCAGGCCTCGCAGCACGCTGAGCGCAGCACGCGGACCTGGCAAGACGGCTACCTCACACAGCGGATCATTGGTTTCGGTCGTGTCAGACCTCAGTCGTCAAATTGACTGTATGGAAACGGCGGTCTCTGCTAATGCTCCTTTGTTGGCGGGTTTTCAGGTCTCAACTGACCTTAGCGAGAAAAATCACGCACTTCAAACCGTAAAAATAGCGCCACCGTTTTCGGTGTAGTTAAACATGTGTAATGTTGCTCCACAAGTGAGTGTTGAACGCTTTCCATTGATTAAACGCCGCACTTAAGCCCGTTGTCATTGCTGTGTATCGCTGAAGTTTATATCCACGTTTAACACCGCTTTTAAGACATCAAGTCATCAAGGCTTCGAGCCTTGACTCATCAAATCTCAAGTCACAAGTCTCCTTCACAATTTATACACGCCATAAGTCACCAACAAAGCCTGTGCCGCTCCCACTGGCTTGTATACGAAACTGAAAGAATGCAAATCATATGCAATCACAAACTTAAGATGAATTCACAAGTTTTCTCATCAGCGCTGGTATTCGAATAAATAGCAAGCAACTGTTAGATCAAGATGGATTTACAAGTGCTTTTGTCAGCCGGGATACACTTATGATACGAGCGAAAGCTTATGCTAAGGAGTATATCGGTGGCTGCGCCTGCGTACGTAGCCCTTCATTCCCTTCGCTGTCACAGTAGATAGCAAAGTGCTACGAATTGCTTGGAGATAACAAAATCGCATTACCTTATCGCTTTCCGGCCGCTGTTCAACTCCCAAACATGCCTGCGAGAAGAGGCAAAGAAAGACGACAAACTTGTGGTTTGACCTCATTCGACACAATATGACTGGGTTGTTTGGGCTGTCTGGGTTGTCGCAAGAATAGGAGACGAACGGCTGTGTGCATAGCCCACGCACGGACTACCGCCTCGTTCTTTTCGATTTGTCTCTAATACGCCAGCTGTGGACTCGGTAGAGATTTTCTTTCCACACGCTGTGGACAGTGGTGAAATGTCCGAGCCGTGCTAGAATTAAGCAGTTAAAAAGTCACAAGAAATTCCAGAAACTGTTTAAGTTAGTGTTACAAGCAAGATTGGCGCGTTCAAAAGCATTTACAACCAGTGGTATTCGCACTGCGACACATGGGCAAAACTCAGCACATAGCGGCACAACCATGACTGCTCAGGTGTAGTTTTGTCGTGTGTTTTTCTTTGGGGGGAAGGGGCTTTGGCTGAAATGCAGATGGAGATGAAATTGAGTTTTTTCGTTCTTGGTTTTTTGCTTTTCCCCAGAACAGTTGATATTACCTGAACGGCGTGAGGCGTTCACCAAGGCGACTTGCTATGCGACTAATAGCACGTCCTATCGATCATATAAGCTCTCCCGCAGTTTGCTTTATTGCAAGAATGCCTTCCTGGCTGACTGCGTCAGGCAAAACATTGAATTCGTCCGGCATCTTAAGTACGATCAGAATTATTATCAGCTTGTTTACGAATCATTTCACACGTTTGAATCAATATGTTATTATAATCGGTTTTGTGGATAGAAGGGCAAAAACATCCGTCCAGATGACAAGGAATGAGCCCGAACGAACTAGAAGAAATAAATAAAATCCTTCAAACCAGGATGCTGCGTAGCCAATCTTCTTTTTCTGAGAAGCGCTTTAAATGACAACCCTCGGGAATCCTGAAATTCGCGTCTGCCATGTTGACGGCAGTCATTTGTTTCGCCTTTACCCTCGCACATGCAATCAAACAGAATGCCCTTGCGCATGCGCACTGAGCCTTAGTCCGGTGTGTGGCGTGTCACAGAAACATTACCTCCAGACGGCCGTCGAGCGTGTTCGTTATAATAGCGCGCCTGGGTGGCTCGCCATGGTCACGTGACCGCGCGGCGAGTCCGGGCACACCTGAACATGACCGAATCGCCTGCGGCAGCAGCGGGGCTTTACGCCAGCTCGTGAGCAGGCAGGCTTCCTTATCGCATGCCTTGCCATGCAACGTCGCCCCCCAAGGACGTTTTGAGAACTTCGGTGAGCTAACGGGGCCGCTTTGGACTATGTACAAGACCTCACCAAATTCCAAAACTGATTTTGAATTGAGTGGCATGCTGGTTTTTAACCTATGGCATGACCAAGCTCTTAGCTGGCCATAACATTGAAACAAACAAGGCATCTAATCACAAAAAGTGCTAATCACGCGAAGCCTACATGCTTACGGTGTCGCATTTTCTTCTCACGCTTTGTGACCGCGGCGGAATTTCTGCCCGTAATGAGTCGGGTCGCTGACGGTCCGGCCGGGAGTCCCGTCCGATTGACGCCGTCTGCGTGACAGGAAAACGGCCGCCCGCCACGGCCAGCAGGGCGGTGTCGGGAGAGCGAGAGTGACGGGGCTGGCTAGCTGCGCAGTTGAGGGGCCGCCGGCCGCGGCCCGACGCGGCACGCCTGGGCCTGCGGCTGGGAGACCGGCCTAGCCTGGACCAGCGGCGGGGAGGCTGGCCGTCCAGGACCTGAGACTGCGTGACTGGCTGCTCCGGACCTGAGACTGGGTGGCTGGCTGTCCAGGACCTGAGACTGGGTGACTGGCTGCTCCGGACCTGAGACTGGGTGACTGGCTGTCCAGGACCTGAGACTGGGTGACTGGCTGCTCCGGACCGGAGACTGGGTGACTGGCGGCTCCGGACCTGAGACTGGATGACTGGCTGCTCCGGACCTGAGACTGAGTGACTGGCTGCTCCGGACCTGAGACTGGGTGACTGGCTGCTCCGGACCTGAGACTTGGTGTCTGGCTGTCCAGGACCTGGCGCTCAGGATCAGGCCACCGACCATCCATCCCCAGTTCTGGTGCCAGTAGCTCAGTTGTCTTGCAGCCGCCTGTGCCGGCTTTGAGATGGCCAAGTAGCGGCCTTGCGGTGGCTTCTTCAAGCTTCGGGATGAGGCTCTGGAGGCTGCGGTGAAATTACGTCCGCCGTGTCGCGCAGAATCACGACAGAGAAATCTGCCGGCCTTGACCCCGTTCGCCGCGCGCGGAGAGCCATGATTCTCCCTGTGGCGGGAATCACCGTGCCTAAATAGACCAACGTTGTCGAATGGTTCTATCGCTGATTAGCCGATTGGGCTCCGGGAGGTGGGAACAGTCGAACTCTCTCTCCACCGACGTGCGAACAACACAATCTCCTGTGCGTGTGTGCGTGTGTGCGGGGCTGTCCGACACGGCTGGCCTCTGTTTACCCGTGCTCCAATTAGCAGGCCTTGTGGCCGAATCGAGGCGTGCCGGCCGGGCACACACGACCATGGTGACCCCCGCTCAATAGACGGGGGGCGGTGTCCTCGAAATCTCACGGCCGGTGATCCGTGTCAGCGCGGTGGCGCGGCGGCGGCGCGGCGGCGGCCGCGGTGGGGTCCCGTGTGACCGCGACCTCCAGTGACCGCATCTGACACGCTTCGCCGCCTGCCGACCGGCGCCGGACCGAGACCGGCGGCGGCGGACCGGCCCCTCCGCGGGCCGGCCCGACCCGGCCGCCCGACCCAGGACGACGTGACTGGCTTTGTACGGGTCGCCCTTAGAACGCCGACTTTGGAGGCCACCGCCCCTGGTTTCGCAGCTGAGCGCTGGTTGACCCAGACTGTCCGCGCTGGCACTATTGTTTACCCATATGCTGGTAATGTAGACGTCATTATTGAAGACAATTTTCTTTTTTTTAATTGCGGCCCGACTTACCACGCCTCGAAATAAGTGAATGCATCGTAATAGCATTGTGAGTGGACAACATTTTTTTAGTCGCTTTGTTTCGCAGCTTTTAGTTGTAACGTTGGAATGCGTTTCTGACAATGCCATAACCATGATTGGTGCACAGATTTCACGGGCAGTTCGGTCCTTTGTGTAACAAACGGGTTTCACAGAGAAAAACCTTCTTTCGGCTATCACACTAGGAAACATTTAGAAGCCTTTACAATTCTGTTAAATGCCCCGATGTCTATGCAGTTTCCTTAATCCCATAGAGAAAAACTGTAATTGTTTATATTTACTTCATAGTCAGCTGACCAATTCTCATTATGTTAACATAAACAATAATGCTAACACTATTCAATCAGTAGGCAATCAGAATCACGTGCTCCTCTGAACTGGATTAGAAACAATGCCACTCAGGTTCGATAGGTTTATTTTTAGATCATTAATAATTTGTTTTCGTTTCACTGTAGGCAACCAGATTTAGCTGACCATTGGTAATCCAAGGATATGTTTGCGCCTCTCGCATTTAATTTCCCTTTCCCTCGCGCACCGATATCTCAGTCATCAGTTACGGTGCTTCCGTGATTGTAAACTTCCTGCGGAGGGACACCCCACTGCCTGGAGCGCGGCCCCGAAGCCAGGCCCAGAGCCGCCGTTGTGGGATGATGTTAGTGTCCTGTGTTCCGGCGCTCTCGCTGGGGATGCCTTCTACTCAGGCGTTAATGTCTCGAAACGACAGACATCAGTGGGATTTCTCGGCCCGCGTGGCCCACAGATTGGCCAGCGGCGGCACGGCCGA